ATCTCTCTTTGCTCTTGACTGTGGGTGGGATATGACTAACTGCTTAAGTTCCTGCGTTGACTTCCCTGAAATGACGGGCTGTAACCTAGAATTGTACAGAAAGGAAATCTGTCCTCTCCTTGGTGACTTTTGTGGGGATATGGTATCACAGTGACATAAACTAAATGAGGACACAAATAACCTGGGGAACTTTACGCCAAGTGAAAGAATCCGGACTGCAGAAGACCTCGGGGTGCATGAGCTAAAGTCCACGAACGGTCTATATTTAGCAAAACTACAGGGACATCAAGGAAGCAGTAGTCGCTTAGGGATGAAGGCTTGAGATCTTCAGGGAATAGTGACTAAAGAGTACGAGATTATAAAGTTGCTTTGGGATAGATGTAAAAGTGCTGATAGGGGCTGCAAAATACTGTGAAGTTAATACAACTCATTTTTAAAAGGAATATATTACTGCAAAGACATGACTAACATTCCTTTTGAGAAATTCCTGCCAGAATTACATGATCAGCATCTACTTGTGGGGACACATCAGACCAGGGCATCCTTCAGAGTAGCTGGCTGGTGTATTTTTTGGAGGAGTCTTGGTTGAGACAAAAAAGGCCTGAGAAAGGTTCCCAAAAAGAACAAGTTGACACGCATGGGGGACCTGGGTTGGATCTTAGAGGCCCAACTTACAAGCTGATCAGTGGGGCAATGCCCTTTATCTTAATTTTTATAATTTGCATATTCTAATTTTCATCTCCATGACAAATAATGATGTTTTACAGTTATCCATAACTTTGCAGTTTTTTGGGTTTCTTTTGTGAATATATGGATTACTTATTTATGTAGTTGGCCAATTTTTCTACGTTGCTTTTTTCTTCAGTTTTATGAGTGTTAGCAGTATTTCAATATGCATTAACAGTACCTTCCTCCATCTGATCATTACCCCCCTGACTTCTACTAGGACTTGTGCGTGCGTCGGACAGAGGCCGTGGGTAGAGGGCTGAGAGCTCAGGGCCTCAGCCTATGAAGTCAGAGGAGATGTTTGCAGGTGGAACTTCTTCCTGTGGTGAAGGTCAGCAGCCTGAAGCTCTTCTGCTTCCCCTTTCCATTCCTGGCCATGAGGTGAGCAGCCAGTCATACGCTCGTGATGACACACCACCTCACCACAAGCTGCGAAGCCATGGACAAATGAACAACCAACCACAGGCTGAATGCTCCAAAACCGTGAACCCAAGTAAACTTTTCTACTTTTTAAGTTGATTATTTCAAGTATTTTATTGCAGCAATGGAAACCTGATAGCTTCCTGTCTAGTATAATTTGATTTCAGAAACATATGTATAATTAAGTGTACCTGAATCTAATATATAATACCATCCAGGTTTATTGACTTAGGTTAAGAAGTCTCCCCTGTCACAAGCATTAAAACATGGCTCCTTTCATTTTCTTTTTGTGATTTTTATTTAAATGTTTTTACATTTGATTTCTGTAGGATGTTTCGTACTATAGATGAAGGAGGAAGTTCCATGTTTCTTTTTCTAAAAAAAATTATTTTGTGTTCATGAGTGTGTGCATGCACATGTGTGCAAATGCCAGAAGAGGATGTCAGATCCCCTGGCATTGAAACACCAAGCAGTTATGAGCCATTTATATGGGTGCTGAGAACCCAACCTGGGTCCTCTGCAAGAGCAGCGAGCATTCCTAACCACTGAGCCACCTTTCTAGACTCCTCCTCTTTTTTTTCTTTTGATGGGGGTTTAATAGTGCCAACACATGTGATAGGTAAATTGCAAAACAACTCAAGAGAGACAGCACAAATAGCAGTTAAAAAGCAGGCAGCCTGATTTGGGATATGAGCTCCATCACTCTCTGTCTGTGTGACCTCAGGTTTGTGTGCTGACAACTTGACACAGGTTAGAGAGACCACCAATTAAGACAATGCCCCTTGAAGATGACCTTTCGGATGCTTTCTCCATAGATGACCGACGTGGGAGGACCCAGTCCACTGAAGGTGTCACTATCCTGAAGTCAGCTCGACCATAAGTCACAGTGACCTCACATAGCTAGGCAGCAGAAAAGAAGGGGGTGTGGTATCTCTGTTGCTGCCAGAAGCCTGCCCGCCCACCCCTGGTATCCTAGAACTGGCTTTTCCTTCAGACAGCTGAGGACAAAGTTTCCAGAGTCTGGAAACAGTTTAACCCTGAAAGACATCACAATTTTCTCCATTGCAGGTACTCAAGGCCCGTTTATTGGGAGAGGAGAAATGGAAGGGCAGAGGACAGACTTCCCCAGGAAATCTAGCTTCCCTGTCCTGACCAGTCGGTGGTATTGTCCTTGCGTTAACACCCTCTGAAACCCACTTTTCTTAAGTACCAGGGAAGCCTTGCACAGTTATCTTGCTGTTCTTGCTGCCTCAGTCACTATCTCCCAGGTACCTTACATCGTGTCTAATTTATCTTCCTAGGGAAAATGATTTAATGATAACTCAGAACTTCTCCAGGAAGGGACTGTGGGCTTTGCGGCCAATACCTAATGGGAACTTCCTTCCCTTTCTGCTTCCCTGCCCCCATCAGTCACTGTTTCTTGTCATTGCCACCCTCAAAGGTCAACTGGAGATACTTCCAGAGAACAGTGTAGTGCGTACGCTCTATGTACGGTGTGTGGAACTATGTCCAGGGGCCAGGAGAAGCATTCAGAGGGATCTTTGCTAATGAACTCACAGTTTGGGATAAAACCTGTCTAACCTAGTCTCTAGGAGAAGGACACGCTCCAGGGAAATGGAAGTATGAATCTTATCATTTCCTCAAGGTGACTCTCCTCTCCCTTCCCCTCCCCTCCACCTTTCTCTCCTCCTCTCCTCTCTCCTTCGCCCCCTTTTCCTTTACTCCCCTCCCATTCTCTCCCATCCCACCTCTTCTCTCCCCTCCTCTCTTGTCTTTCACGAAGCTAATGTTATAGGTGGGCCAAGTTCTCTGAACTACACTTGGATAACAGCTGCCCCTAACATGTTTCTGAAGTGGTTTACCCAAGGATGTAGGAAGCCAGGGTTAGTGAAATCAAAGCCAGGCTGATGACTGTGGAAAAAGGAAGGCAAGCTGCTCATCACTGAGGCCGATATCTTTCTGTGACTATGACGTTTGACTCATAATTGTCTTGAGAAAAGAAAACAAGGATGGCAGTTGAGGGCTATCCTCAGCAGAAAGAGGGAAATGTCCCCTGTTATCCACCCAGACTTCTCCAAAGGTTCTGAGACACTTGTGGAGCATTTGTGAGATAAATATCAAGATGGCCTCCAACCCCCCTGGCCCCAGACAACACTGTGCCGCAGACGGAGATGGCCATTTCCCCCCACCCCCAACTCCCCCACACCCCACCTGCCTGATAAAAACCGAACCAAACAAGGAAGCAATAAAATCACAGTGAAGGCCCCAAGTCAAACCCTCTGGAGAAAGAAAGGTGCTTTCAACCGGATGGAAGCAGCTGGATCCTGGGTGGGTCCCTGTGCATCTTGATGAGGGCAGGGCTTCTTCGTAGCACCCCTGCTTCAGGGAGCAGTGGTGGGAAGCATTGCTTTAGACAGATGTTCTCCTGCAGGCTTTCTCTCTCAGCTTAGATTTGGGTCCCAGGTACACATCTGGTGGGCTGAACTGCTCCCCGAGGAGGAGGGCCGAAGGCTCTCCTCTTCCATGTAGCAGAGGAGCAGACAGGCAAGACCATAAATGCGCTGGCCACCTTGTGTGAGGATTCCAAAGCCTCATCAGTTTTCTTTCCCCCAAGAGTCTGGAGTCATGCTGACACCCCTGGATGGCAGCTGGAGAAGCTCCAGATCCCCTTGACCCAGGAAATGATGCTACTTGCTGGGACTTTGGGACGCCATCACACCTAAATATTTATGTTATAGGAGACCTGATTGTGATCAGCAGACTCTCATTGATGTGGCTAAGGAGTTGTGGAGGGCCTTCCCACTTCGATGATACTAAACTAGGAAATCCCTTAGACATAACCAGAGGTTTGTCTCCAAGGAGATTCTATATCCTGCCCAGTTGGCCTGCAACATTAACCACCACAGTGTGTATGTGCCTAGTTTGTAATACCCTTTTGATGTGCTATTTCCTTAGGAGTTGTTTATGTTTCAGTATGACGTGGCATTCTTCTCTTCTAATTTTGGTCTGAAGACTATTTGGTCAGATATTAGCACAGTGACAACTGTTTCCTTCCTTGGTTCATTTGTTTAGAATACTTTTTTTTCATGATTTTGCCCTAAGGTTGTGTTTTTTTGTGGAGGCAACAAAGAGCTAGATATTGTTTAATCCAACCAGATAGTCTATGTCTTTTAATTGTGGGATTTAGTCCATTGCTACTTGAAATTATTTTTGAAAGATGTCTTTTAATTCCTGTCCTTTTGCAGTTTGGTATTGTGACTATTCATATATTCACCCAACTATGGGCATGTGAACTGCTGCTAGTATACACACAGGCAGAAGAGGGGTTGCTATACCAGGTGGGTGACTGTGCTTACGTTTCGAGGAACTATCAGACTTACAGCTAGAGCTGCTGAAGTATTTTGCATTCCCAACAAGAATCCTGATTCCTCCACATCATTTCATCCATATATTTTCTGTTGGCATTTGAATCGCACCCCCCCCCCCCGCGCCCCAACTAATGTCGTTATGTTTTCTGTGATTCTTGGACATTGGTGCATATCCTTCGGAAACATGTCTACTCAAGTTTTTTGCCTAGGTTTTAATCAGTTATTGTTTTGTTTTGTCCTGAGACGCAATAAGTTCACATTAATCCCTTATGAGCTACAAGGTGTGCAAATTGTTTCCTCCCTAAATTTTTTAATTTCATTTTGATTCATAAACTTAAATCTGTAATCCAGCTAGACTTGGAAGGGAATGGGGAAAATCAAAAACCCTAAGGACTTCAGTGAGAGCAAAGATTGTCCATCATTACATGCAGATGGGGTGGGGGTGGTTCTCCTGAGCTACAGAATGGTCTGCTGGGTAAGGTGCCCTCAAGTTCGAGGAATTAAGAATTGTCCACAGTCAGCGAGGGAGATCTTGTTAGTCTTGCCATCCTGGACCCCAAATGCTCCATGGCTCCCATATTGCTCATTTCTTCTTTCACCTTCCCAAGGACCACGCTTGCCATCCAGCCACTCGGTCTTGGCAGGGCAGATGAAAAACAATGAACCATTGGTGTTTGGTCCAGCATTTACCATGGGCAAGATGCCAAGATCCGGACGCTTCAGGATGAAATCTTCATCCTCAAATATCTTTGTGTAGATGGAATTGCCACCAATGTCATTATGATGTGTGACGTAACCACCCTGGAACATGAGTCCTAGAATACTTCTGCGAAGGGAGGAACCCTTATTTCCAAATTCTTTCTTTCTATTGCTCAGAGCATGAATGTTCTCTGCTGCCCTTGAAACATTGTCTACCCTGACATTGAAGAACATGGGGCAGGGTTTACCGTGACTGCCAGCGAAGTGGTGACAGGGAACAGTGGTATCTAAAGTAAAATATTATCAATAATAAGTTATCTTACCAAATTTCCATGAATCTGTTTTACTGGTCCCAGCTTTATATAGAACTTTCTAGTCTGATTTTCTTAAACATGGTAATAAATGTTCCAAGGTAACTCCATTCTTTGACATAGTATATTTTACTGAGGATATTTGATATTCCTAAGGATATCTGATTTTTATTATATGCTGAATATTATGCATGGAAAAATTATAGATACAATTAGAGGTTTCTTGAAGTTGTCCTGAGAATATCTTTTGCTTTTTGGCACACACTTGGGGTTAGAGGAAGCTCACTTTATCCAGTACAGGATAGATCTGATTTGAAATTGGTTTTTAGTGTTTGGGGAGGCTCCTTTTTCATGTTTGCCCCTAATCTTAAGAGTGCAGCCCAGTCCTGTGGTTCTTACAGGGAGCCTGGGGCTTTTCTAGGGTCCTGTGCACTAAGAAAGTCACTGGAATCTATGTCTTCCAGATTTATCAGACTGTCAAAGCTCTGTATCCTTTCTTAGTCTTCTTAGGGCCTTGAATTCATGCTGTTTATAAAAGCCAGCTGTTACTTGAGGAAAACACAACAAAATCTTGGTTCATCTTATTGGCTTCTCCTTTTAGTATAAAATGTCTAAGACTCGGCTTCTTAAGCCTGAAGACCTCTCTCTCATCCATGTTTTTGGCTCCAGTGGCTACGAAACTGCTGGAAGCCCAGATTTAGTTCCCGCTCATGAGCGCCTGTATTTTCAACCTTAGGCAACACTGTTTTCAAATAAGCATCTTGTCAAGAGCAGAAATACTTAAGAACACTGGCTTGCCTGCATACTTACCCTGCTTTCATGTGGATTTTTAAAATCTTTTTAAAGCACTTATAATTGTTGTCAGTAGTTGGGAGCATGCGTTTTATCAATGGTTTAGACTTTTACCTGAGTTTAAGTAAATAGTTTTGGCCAAAATGTAAGCAAAAACAAGTTAAGGTGAAGATATTCCAATAAACAGGACAAGCAAGTCTTTAATCAGGAAGACAGAATAAGACAGCCAATTCATCAGGCAGATCTGAACAACTGTTGGACTTAGTGAACGCAGTGGAGAAAATCAGCACTACCTGATTATAGATTGGAAGGCTCTATTAGTGCCACTTAGGATATGTTTTTTAAATTCAATGACTGAATCCAAAATGAAAGTGTTTCAAACACCGACAGTAAAAGGAAAATCCCTGATGCTTCTAGAGTGGGTGTGATGGTTTGCGCTGTCAACTTGACACACCTAGAATCACTGAGGAGGAGAGTCTCACTGGGGGATTGTCTACATCTGGTGGGCATGTCTGTGGGAGATTGTCTTGAGTTAATTGATATGGGAAGACACAGCCCTCTGCGGGTGGCCATTCTCTAACCAGGGGGTCCTGAGCTGAACTGCATGAATGGAGAAAATAAGCCAGGCACATGCAAGCAAACATTCATTCTTCTCTGCTACTGTCTATGGATGCTGTGACTGCTGTTTCAAGTTCCCGAAGCCTTGCCGACTTCCCTGCATCTTGAACTGTATATATAATCATGGACTATAACCTGAAATTGTAAGCTGAAAGAAATCCTTTTCTTCTAAGCTTCTTTTTGTCGGGATATTTTATCACAGCAACAGAAATGGAAACTAGAACAGGGAAAACTTTCAAGTACCAAAGAACAGGATGATATCAATACATGTCTTCAAATGAGTTAACAATCAATGACAGAACATGATGGAATCTGAAGGTCTGTATTCAGGTCAATACAGAACACAAAACTACCAATTATGAGACACAGGATGAACATGAACATTTTCAGAAAGACTACTGTAAAGGTTTCTTCCCACAAACTGTTGAGGAAGTTGCTCAAGGATGTTCTTCAAGAAAATAAGGAAGGAAAAGAGAGAAGGAAATGAAATCCAGAAAACATCTAACCCAGGTAAAGAGAAGAACAGCAGTCACAGAAGTGAAGTGCCAAGTGAGATCTGGCCGACAGTCCTAGACAGCATCATCTAGGAAGGAGAGGAAGCTGTGGTGGTCTACAAGAGATCCTGAGAGGAAAAGTATTGCATTCTATAGTTTCAATACTAAGGCAAGATTGGAGATCTGGTAGGACTGATGGAAAGGTGGGTAGATCAGATGAAGATAACTTCTTAGCCGTTTGTTCAACATCTAGTGGGGAAAACACGCTGAAGTTCAGGGAAAATGTGAACAAACTATTTAGCACGCTTTGAAGAGTTAACAGTGTTGGAAAAGGCTGTTCATTCTCCCATCAGAAACATCTCCTTTCAGTGGTACACAGGTCACAACATTTGACCATAGACTATGCGGAGAATAACACACTATTGGTTCTCATAGCTGACATAGCGAGGTACTTTCTGGAATGGTACGAGTATTAAAGGAGGTTGTGAGCCGGGCGGTGGTGGCGCACACCTTTAATCCCAGCACTCAGGAGGCAGAGGCAAGTGGATCTCTGTGAGTTCAAGACCAGCCTGGTCTACAAGAGCTAGTTCCAGGACAGGCTGCAAAGCCACAGAGAAACCCTGTCTCGAAAAACAAAAAACAAAAAAAAAAAAAAGGAGGTTGTGATGAGTGACACATGATTAGACTTCATCCACATAGACCTCTCAGATCTATTTAAGGGATATCTCATTAAAGCTGTTTTTTAAATAAAATGCAAAGCCCTTTCATATGGCCATGGGATGTTCTACGATGAATGAGTACTTGAGTGTCAGCAATATAGCCATGGCTGTGGCTACAACAACACAAACACGTTTTTTTTTTTTTTTTTTTTTTTTTTAATGGAGATAAAAAGAAACCTAGCTTGTGTGTGTGTTGGCTTTTTGAGACAGGTTCTTTCTAAATTTCCCAGCATGGTCTTTAACTCATGCTAGGAAAGGATACCCTAGAACTTGATTTACCTCTCCCAATTTCCCAAGTGCTGGGATTATATGTGTGTGTCACCACCTCTGACCGTCAAATTCATTTTTAAAAGTAACCTAGAAAGATAAAGAGGCTAATGACTGGAGAAAGGAAAGAAGCTTCGATTCCCTGACTGCCTAGATTTTGTTTAGTAAAACTTGCTCAGTAACAGATATTATTTCACATGAGTATAAAAGTTAAATTTAAAAAAACAATCCTGAAAACTCTAAAGCAGACAAAATTATGTATCACTCTGGTGGCATCACCATTCTAAGGGCAAAAGCAACAAGAAAAACAAAGTCGACCAACAAACCCGTAACTTCTTCCCAACGATCATACATTATTTAGGATGGGTTTAATAGTATTCCGGCTTTGGTATACGTATTGTGACCAGGGAATGGTACTGGTATTCAGGAGAGGAGAAAGTAGATCTAGAATTATAAAACCAAACAAAGAGTTAAAATAAAAAAAAGCCTGCCAGCCTGAATATCAAGTATAAACCCAGCATTTGCTGTCATTAAAATAAGGTCAGAAAAGTGAGAGGTGAATGGGTATGTTTAAATTATATTAATAAATGCACATTTTTCAAAGAACAAAAATATTATTAATATTATTAATAAAATCTTCAGTCAGGCATAATAGCCTGCAAGCACAATTCTGGCACTGAGAAGACTCAAGAGAAAAGATTTTGAGGCCAGCCTGGGCTACACAGTGAGCCCTTGTTCTTAAAAGCAAAATCACAGAGTTGCATGTCATTATGCCAGCACCGTGTTAGTCTTCTCTGTATCATTCCAATATTAGTATATGTGCTGTTGACATGAGTATGAAGCAGTCCTTTTAAAAAAATCTTTACATTGCAAGGAAAACAGAAAAATTCACTGTAGCTACTAGAATACCAGACTGATCAGAAAATACTATTTCTCATGAAGATGGGGCAGTCTTAGAGAAACAGATGAATCCAGTGAGTACAGGAAATGCATCAGAGAGACTACAACTGTCTCTTACATCCAAGAGCTAACAGGACAAGCTTCTGTGGGCCAAAGTTTAAAATAGTGCACAAATAATGCTGACACTCATCTAAATGATCCATTCACAGTTAAAAATAAAACAAAAAAATACTCACAAGAACACATGACAATTGAATATTTGATGAAATTACTTCTGCTAGATTTTGGTGCAATTATTGGATGTATTTGGAAATGGATACTGCGTATTTATGAGTAAAATGATCTAAAGTCTAGGGATTGCTTTGAGATGATCCATAGGTAAAATGAGGTAAGAACAGATACCTCTAAGCTGATAATACCTGAAGCAAGAGGTGGGTGATGAAACAGCTCAGTGATTAAAAACACGGGTTGCTCATTCAGAGGACCAGGGTTCAATTCCCAGCACCCACTTGGCAGCTTACAACCACCTGTAACTCCAGTCCCAGGGGATCTGACATCCTCTTTTGGTCTCCATGGTACACAGACATATGTGCAGACAAAACAGCTATATATATAAAAATATATTAAAAATGTAATTGAAGCAGGAAGATGGAAACATTTAAGATTTTTCATTTGTGTGTGTATGTGTAGGCCTGTGCACTCCCTCAGAACTGGATTTATAGGCAGCTGTCAGTCAGTTGACTTTGGTGCTATAAACTGAACTCAGGACCACTGCAAGAGCATAAGTGCTCTGAAACTGCTAAGCCATCTAACTTCCTATTATTTTTATAAATACTTTAGTTTTTCCACAGCTACAAGATTTAAAAAGCAACTTTCGCCTATGTGCATATCATCTCCATAATGGTCAAGTGAAGACACTCACATTATTCACAGGATTGGACCTAAAACCTCTGGTTAAAACGGCGACACAGAGCCTACACAGGACTGGGGTCTACAGCTTCTTAAGACTGCACCAGAAACACTGGGGATTATAAGCAATCTGGAAATTAGGAGGAAGGGACAGAACCTTCTATCTAGAGACTCTTTGTTTTCTCTCCAGTAGTCTCTTGTCACTTGGGGCTTTCCCATGACAC